ACTGTCTCCTTCCCCATTGTCCTTGCCGCGCTTAACGAGATTCGAGATCCACCCTCCAAGTCCCTCTCTTTGGCCCGTGGCATTGGACTCCTTGCGGTGGCTGTTGTTGCTATACTGAGGCTTGCCACCTTCGACATTGACGCTGGGTGGGTTGATGTCGAGTCCAGGAATAGCACTGTCCGCGCCCAGACCACCACCGCGACGGATATCCAAAGATGGCACGGGGGATCCAGCGCTGAACAGAGATTCGGCTTCGGCCAATGTCGCGGGAGTAGGCATTTGGGACGTTGCATCGCCAAACAGAGAATTCATGTCTTCCAAGCGCACGTTGGCGGTTTCGGGGTAGATAAACCACACTGGAAATGTCAGCGCGCCGTCATCCACAGAAATTGCTCAGCACTTACCAACGACGAAACTGACTGCGCAAAAGAATGCGTGGAGAAGGTATAGGCGCCATTGAATCCACTCTTGAAGAATTGGTGTCATTTCACCCACCAACCAATTGAAAGCCCAGTTGGCTGCGGTCGACAGACTTGCTCCCTTGGCGCGGATGCTGAGCGGTAGAATTTCCGGCGGGTACAGCCAGGGAATCGGTCCCCAGGAGGCTCCAAAGGCACCGTTGTATATCATGACGAAAATAACAACCAGCCGGGGCGTCCAGACCGGTATGTCAATGTAGATGAAGTATGATATCGCACTCAGGGAAATAATCATGGCAATGGCACCGGACAGGAGGATGAATCTGCGGCCCCAGGTATCGACAAGGTACCAAGGAGGAATCGTGGAGGCCAGGTAGCTGAGGCCGTTGATGCCAGTCATGAGAATGGCCTCGCGCCCGACCCAACCCGCTTGTTCGAAGACCAATGGGGCATAGTAGGAAATGACGTTGATGCCGTTGAGTTGAGCCAGGGATTGCGCAGACATGGCGATGAAGACGCGCTTGTAGTATCTCTTGAACATGTCACTGTACGACCGCTCGCCCTCTTGGCGTTGGAGCAGGACGTTCATCTTGATTTCACGGTATTCATCTCTGGCCTTGGGGTTGTGAATGTCGCCCTTGCCATAGAGGTTGGCAATGACGACGATGCCCTCCTCATCGTGGTCGTTGTCGAGAAGCCATCTGCACTTCGTTAGCTTGGTGATGGTCCATGTGGGGAATGGTCGTTACCTCGGCGATTCGCAAATAAGCAGACTGCCTACGGCCAGCAACGACCCCATGACGCATTGCATGAGAAGGGGGATTCGCCAAGCCCAATCATTCTTGATGTAGCTGCAAAAGTAGTCCACCCACACGCTGGCGGCGTAGCCGGAGATGTTGCCGGTGAACTCGACGCAAGCCAGCTTTCCGCGGTTGTGCGGGGGGGAGATTTCAGACTGGTAGACGGGGACGATAGTGGACAGAGCACCGACACCCAGACCAGCAATGATTCTTCCCAGCAGCATCATGGGCATGCCCGTCGCAAACGTTTGGAAGGCGCCGCCGACGACGAAGACGAGGGAGCCGTAGAGAATGGTCCGTCGACGACCCAAAATATCTCCAACCCTTCCGACACTGATAGACGCTATCAGGGCCCCTATCTCTAGGATGGCCACCATTGTACCAATCTCGGCGCGGGTGGGCTGGTTGAAGTAGTCTTTGAAGTAGGAGCCGCTATGTTGCACAACCCGTCAGCCCCAGAGTCTGCTATGCTATCAAGGGGGATTGGACCTACGTGATGATTCCCGACATGACGCCCTGGTCATACCCGAACAAGAAAACGCCTAATGATACAAATACACTGGTGAAGTAACTGGTATGGAGGTCAGCCGGGAGCCCGTCAATGGCGGTCGAGGAGATGGAAACGCACATGAGCTTCTTTCCGTGCAACCCGTGCATACGGGACGGGCCATCGTTGGGAGCCATGATGGCAGCGAGAATCCTGATGACGACTGTGAGTATGGTGTAGGCAGCGTTTGCGGCGGGAGACGGTACCTTTCCCCTCGCGAGACAACCTTTCGTGGGGGAGTTGGCACTGGGATGTCCTCCTTTTTGATACACCCAGCCTTTTCGTTGTTGGCGCCAGACGAGGAGTCGTCGGCGTAGTGCACGCGACGCGGATGGCGCTTGTGAGGGCGAGCTTCAGCGGCGAAGTCCTGCGATTGGCGAAGTCGAGCCTGCAAGGGATCTTCTTCGTCTGCGAGCTGGTCGACGAGATCGCCCGTCTCGCTCCAGAGCGAGTCTAATTCCGAGTGGTCGGAGTCGGACGAGGAATGGCGGGGCCCAGTCTTCTCGTCGTGGGATGAGGTGGTCGACCGCAAGGCGTGGAGAGGAATATTGGCGGGCCGGCGGCTCGACGATGGGGGAGAAATCTTGACGGACGTTGGGCTGGGTTGGAGCAGCCCTCTCCACGATGACGGGTGAGTAGCAGTGCCTGGTCTAGAGAGACTAGGAGAGGAGAGGCCCGCTGACGTCGCGGGCACAGGGTCCGAGGACGGTGGCTGTAGGACAGTTTGGGGAGGCCAGGCCTGACGAGTGGATCACGGGCATTGAAAGAAACAGGACGCAACGTAGCGCTTCGTGTAGGCCTGTAGGTGTGCCTTGGGTTGAGAGACGACTGGAGAAGACCGGACCGGAGACTACTGCTGCGGGCGACGTCTTGGGGCAGAGACCGGGGGCGCCCAAGCGGCGCAACGCAACCAGCTGCTGCTGCTGCTGCTGCTGCTGCTGCTGCTGCTGCCGGGCCACCCAACGAACGAGTCGCACACCGCTCGGACGGGGAAATGGATGTGATATAATTGACGACTGCAACCAGTGGCTTCTCTCGAGAAGAGAACTATTTGCTGCTCACTCGTACTGTAGCCACGTCCGGCGCTCGTCCACGCTGCTCCACTCTGCTGCTCTGCCTGCCCATTGCTAACCACCACCTCCCTACTTTACTCTATCTGACGGAGTCGCCGCGCGCCGCGGGCGCAATGCCGTGTCAGATAGCACCGCCTCATATATTGTACCTCGCTCGCTCTTCATTCGTCCCCAGCGATGCATGTTTTTGACAGAAAAAAGAATCATGCCACGCGCATCGATTGCCATCAAGAATAGCCTTTGCTGTTGCCCTTGTTCTCGTTCATCATCTGCCCGTCCGCTACCTTTAGCATGCTCCGCTCCCGGCAAGGGTCTCGAGATCGGTTGTCACTAGGCGTCGTGATCCTCGTTGCACTCTGGTCATGTGGGCCTGGAGATGGTGCGCTCGTGGACCACTTCCCCAGGTCATGCTAGCGGTTTGTGGGGAAGCAGACACACAAGGCCTGGGGCGCCTTGATGATTTTTGCGCTGCCAGACGACCATCTTCAGTCAGCGCCGAGACGGCAGCATGGGAAGACGTATGCAGGTCAAGAAAGAAAGTGGAGAGTATCGCGGCGGAGCGGCTCCATGGAGCCCTCCCGTGGAGCTGGCTGGCTGGCGTGCCTGGCCCACGGCTCCAGCTCGTCTTGGATCTGCTGCACGCACTGCTTGTTGGCTGCCGGCAGACCGCTCTTTGACCGCCACCTTCCGTCATCTGTATACCCATCTTATCGGCATTCTCCGACCGTGGATGGTGGAATGATGCAAGATGAGAGCCGCATCAGAGCGTCCAGGTCCAGGCAGTCCAGGTCACGATGTGGCGGCTATCACGCCGTGCTCCTTCGCTCTGCCCGTCTTCATGCGCTGCTGTTCTTCTGGGTCGACAACCTTCCACAGCGAACAACCGACCAACCCCCCCCCCCCCCCCCCCGCGCGGCCCTCGCTCGACTCGCGCGTGGGTCACGTCTGAAGAAAATTGACCCCGGGAGACCGCTGAGCAACATCCAGGCATGTGTGCCCCCACGGCTTGCCTGCTCGAGTCTAGCTCCTCTCTCGCCGCCAAAACTGCCGCTGGCATTCGTTGATTCATCCCTGCTACCGGCAAATTTGGTCGTCTCGGTTTCGACTGCAAACCCGATGTTCGTTCGTTCTTGGTGGTTGCATTCCTCGCTACTCGACCTTTGGGAAATCCGAGGCTGAAGATGAAAGGCTTGTCTCGCCTCATCTGGCCCGTCAAGCCTCGCACTATTCCGAGCATGGATTTCCTGGCGGTTGCATGTGTCAAACCTCGAGTGTCCGGCGATTACCCGATGCCGACAAGACGAGATACTGACTCGGCGGCAAGAGGTGACACCACCGTTGCTGGCTTCGCGAGATGAATCTTGACTGCTCCTTGATGAATCCTTCGTGATGCTCAGAGTGCTGTTTCAAATGTTTACAATAGAGACGAATGTTCGAGATGCTGTTTCCATAAATCGGAGCAGATGCAATATTTTGTTGAAGCTCCAAATCTCTCAGACTGCACGTCTGGTATCTTTGGAAGGAATGCTCCCTATCAGTGTCAAACACAATTGCAGAGGTAGAGACTCGGCGCTTGAATGCTCCCGATATGCGTTCATCGAGAACTCTTGAAAGCTCCGAAGCCGTCTAGGTCGAGACATTTGAAAGCGCCCCATCTTACGTCTATGTGATCAGTCGCCCTAGAATATTGCGTTCTACGACCATGGCGAAATAACATTTCCTCTTTTGCATCCAACTGCCACTCATTTTTCTCTCAAAATCTAGTCACTCTTCAACATTATCTATAAAACGATTCAGCTCATCCAGCTTCCGGCTTTTCTCCTTTTTGACGGTCACGAATTTTGTGTGTGCGTGGGTGTCGGCGCGGACACAACTTCCCGGTCCGCACCCCACGAAACCAAAACTCGTGGCCGCATGCCCAAAATTCGACCACCGCGCATCCACCACCAACACATCTACCACGCACACCCCTACCCCTAGAACACCATTCTCACATATCCCCCTCATCTCTCAATCTTCTTCTCTTGCTCCTACATTCAAAAACAACCCCTGCCCAAAAATTCTACCGAAAACTTTCCCTTTCGTTCAACATCATCACACGTGCTAGTTGATATACGGTTTTGATGAGGCTATTTTCAACGATGGCAATTCTGCTAAGTAGTCCTCCGTGGCGCAATTGGCTAGCGCGTCTGACTGTTACAAGACCTTCAGGGTCCTCGCAATCAGGAGGTTGACAGTTCAAGCCTGTCCGGGGGAGATGACTTTTTTGCGCTTTCCTACAGCCTGTCTGGGTCTGTGGGACGTAGCTTTTGCCACTGAGAGATTCGGGAAACGGTGAGGAGAGAAGTTGGGCTGTGTGGTGGGAAGGAGGGGGAAGTGAGCAGTGGTTGGATCGGGAGGGGGGTTTTTTTTTTGTTTTTTTGGATGGATGGATTGGTTGGTGGATTGATTGATGGACGGATAGACTGGGTAAGCGAGAGTGTTTTGAGTTTGGCGAGGCACAGCGATTGTTCGCTGCTTTTCGGCGCCAGTGCATGATGGAATTGTGGGCGAAGGGTCAACCTCACCTCTCTTTTCTGCATACACTACGTCACTTTGCCTGCTTATACGTAATTGAGTATTCAAGCCAGCGATAAACCAAGCAAACGCCCACAACTCTACCCTCGGTAGGTACCGAGGGTCTAGCTGGCTGGCTGGCTAGCTGGCACCTGGCTGGCACACTCCCAGTAAACAACGACAGCAGGATAAGCATAATGGGCGTCCGTCGTATGATTGGCGACAATAGTGACGATGACGATGATGTGGGAAGACTTTCACTTGTCTTGCCTGCAAAAGAGTTGGACATTACAACCGACCGCCTATGTAAAGAGCTTCGATCTAGGTAGAGAAAAGGAACAAAATCGTCGTCGTCGGTGATGATGATGATGTTGAGGATGACAATGTGATGGGTAGGTTGTTGGAGCGCTCATAACTCATCTCAGCCACAACAACGGGCGCGCAAAAAGCCCGACAAAGCAGCAGTAGAAAATAGCAATTCCCCCCATCGTTCGCCAGACCCTTGACCCACCCTGCCTGCCTGACCGACCGAGAAGTGAGCCCCCAACCGAGTATATAAAAACGCCTTCCGTCTAGTGTTTAGCCGTCACCTTGTCGCCAGTGACCTTCTCGACCCATTCCTTGGCACTGTCGTCGTATGTTAGCAGAGACGAAAGGTAAGAGGGAGAAAAGAGACTTACACATCGCCCAAAGCAACCATGCAAACCGTCTGCCAAACGCCCAGTCCGATCCTAGGAGTAACGCCCCTGTACAAGCCCTTGATGCCGTTCTTGGAGTAAATGTACTTTGCCGCGCTGGCGACCGTCATCTTCTTGGGGCGGTTGGGGTCCTCGACCTTGCTCTGCATCTCGACGCGGATGACCTCGATGGGCTGGTTCCACGCCGACAGGCCACCGCCGAGGGTGGACGCAATGATCTTCTCCACGACGCCCAGCTTTTCGCCGTGCTCCTTATTGGTGACCTTGCGGATGCCGCTCTCGGCAATGCGCGACAGCCCAAAGCGCGACCCCCAGTTGGTCACCTGGCGCACGGCCACGGCGTTGACGCCCTTGTTGATGCCGCGGATGCCCTCGCGCCGGTAAATGTCCATGAATGTCTCCATGGTTCCGGGCGGCTTCATGCCCGCCGCCGCCACCTTGTGCTTGGTGATTTCGACCGTCTTCATGCAGGTGCAGAAGCCCATGGTAGCATAAGCCTGCGCCAGACCACCGACCATGCCGCCCGTGATGCCGGCGAGGAAAGGAGCGGCGCCCATGGTGCGCGCGCGGAACTCGGCTTCGGAGGCGACGAACAAGAGGACGGCGCCCTTGGTCGAGGCTTCGATCCAAGCCCAGGGAATGAGACCTTGGTAGACTGTTGAAAGAAAATTATTAGATGTTTAGTTGAATTTATTCAAGTTTCTTTTACTTACATCCAAGGACACCACCACGAGCCCAGATCCTACCAATGGCACCACCAAAGCCGTCCGCGCGGTTGGCCGCCATGGTCGTCTTGACCACCTCCAGAGGCTGCAGACGTTAGCACAGTTTGCAACGCAGGAATAAAGGACTTACCTGGCCCAGCGTCGACACTTCGAACATGTTCAGACCCGAGCCAAGCAGCAAGTTGCTGAACTTGACCGGCTTCTTCTCTAACTTTGGGGGCGCTTCAACGCCTGCCATGGTGGCTGCGGGAGTGGACATGATCTTGGTGCGTACGCTGTGAGAAGGGGCCTGACCAAGGCAAGAGGGTGCTTCTTCGCAGAAAGAGAAGTTGGGGAATGGTATGGAGGGGAGGAAAGGAAAGGGGAAGACAGGGCTGGAGGGCGGCAGCGGAATGTATATGATGGGCGGAGCTGAGTAACGCACGAGCGTTGTGTCGCTGCGACTACGTACAATTACGCCGGGGGGCAGGTGACGGAAATGGAACCCACCACAACAGGGTTACGAGGGGTCAGAACAACAGAAACGTCGTCGGTGCACTGACAGCCGTTCGGGTGTTGTCGGTGCGGGAGTCGTGGTTGTGGACACAGGGTGGTGGGTGGGTGAGGGTGAGGTTGAGCTGAGGCTAAGAGGGTACCCTACAGATAGCAAACCAACCACGGCGCGCAAAAGGAAAGCCGCATCTGCGCCGCATCCTGGAATTCGCAGGCCGACTACGTACATACAGAGACGCCAGAGATGAGTGAGACCCGACCGCAGGAATACCGTACGCCTGTCAGCAGCATGTCAACTTCATTTCGCGGCGGGCATTCCCGCTCAACAGTCTCGGTGTCCGCAGCGTCCATCGGACCATCAGCTTCTCACCAAACACCACCCGACCCCAACGCCCCAGAGAAGCGCACGGCCCGTGACAGGACCTGGGCTGGACCTAGCTCACCTCAGGACCGCCAACCACGGTTGCACCGCCCAGCCCCTGGCCTCGCTCTCAATCCCCATTGTTGCCCTGTCGTGTGGCCCTCGTTTCCTCGAATTGACTTTTGCGTCCACTGACGGACCGTCGCCGTCCTTGTGCGACCCGCGCCCACGCCGCGTCCGCCACAAGACGGAGCTCTCATGCAGGAAACCGTTGGGCGCTGCACGCGTTTTCAAGGCATCGTCTCAGTGGTCATTCATCAACGTGGTACATTGCACTGCTAATACATTCTACGAGTCAAAGAGCGCCAACCCCATGATCCTGCTTTTATTGCTCCCTATGAACAAACAACGTGGGTAACCATTCTAGTCTCTCTAAATCTTAATTCTCTCTCTCTACAACTTGGCACCGACCAGCTTGGCGTACGCCGCGGTGCTGAACGACTTGGGCCTCTCAATGGGCGCGCCGACGGCACGGTCGATGATGAGCTGGGGCAGCACACCGAGGGCGCGCGACACGCCAAACAGCACCGTGTAAAAGTTTTGCTCCGTCAGGCCGTAGTACTGGAGGAGGACACCAGAGTGGGCGTCGACGTTGGGGAAGGGGTTCTTGGTCTTGCCGTGCTCCGTCAGGACGCCGGGAGCAATCTTGTAAACCTGCGAGACGAGCTTGAACATGGGGTCGTCGGGCAGGTGCTTGAGCGCAAAGTCGCGCTGCGACACGTAGCGGGGGTCCGTCTTGCGGAGGACGGCGTGGCCGTAGCCAGGAACGACACGGCCCGAGTTGAGCGTGCTCCAGAGGTACTCCTTGATCTTCTCGTCGCTAAGGTCATTGCCAATCGACTGTTTCATCTCAACGAGCCATTTGAGAACCTCCTGGTTGGCCAGACCGTGCAGGGGACCAGCCAGACCGTTGAGGCCAGCAGCAAGGGAGAGGTAGGCAGAGCTGAGGGCGCTACCGACCAGGTGGGTGGTGTGGGCACTGACGTTGCCACCCTCGTGGTCAGAGTGGATCGTCAGGTACAGCCTCATGAGCTCGACAAAGTCCTTGTTGTCGGCGAAGCCAAGCTGGTTGGCCAAGTTGTACGAGTAGTCCTTGTCCTTCTGGACAGGGGCGACCTTGCCGTCCTTGTACACGTTGCGGTAGATGCGGGCAGCAATGGTGGGGAGCTTCGCAATGAGGTCCATCGAGTCCTCAAAGGTGTGCTCCCAGTACTGGGACTTGTGCATGCCCTTGGCGTAGGCCTTGGAGAAGCTGGACTCGTGCTCGAGGGCAGTCACGGCGAGGGAGAACTGAGCCATGGGGTGAAGGTCGTTGGGGCAGCGGTCAATAAGCTCCTCGACGAACTTGGGGAGGTCGGAGCGGGCAGCCCACTCGGCGGAGAGGTCTTTGACCTGCTGCTCAGTAGGAACCTCGCCAGTCAGGAGGAGCCAAAAGAGACCTGTCCACAGTTTTTAGCAGCCTCGTCCACTTTTGGTTCATCTGGTACTGACCTTCGGGGAGGGGCTCCTGGCCGCCAGGGGCCTTGGGGAGGAGTTCCTGGCATTCGGGGATCTAAAGGTTGTTAGAGGAGTCTAGATAGCCCGGCAAGCATATCAACTTACAGTCTTGCCGCGGAAGCGGATACCCTCCTCGGAGTCGAGGACGGAACCCTAGTGCATTGTCAGCTGGAACAATGACGACGGAGGTCAATGTACGAACCTCCCAGACAAGAGACTTGATGCCACGGGCACCACCGTAGACCTGGTCGAGGGTGACCTCGCCGACGACCTTGCTGCCGTGCTCCCTTCAATTGTGCGTTAGGACCGAGCTGCGGCACAGACGGTGGGGGACGGGAGCGTACTTCTTGAGCTTCTTGATCTTCTCAACCTCGCCAGGGATCTTGGCGGCAAAGGTCTCCTTCAGGGACTTGGGTCGAGGGTTAGCTACCATGATTGAGGCATTCGTGGGGGAGAAAAAAGGGAGCTTACGCTGGTCTTGCTCGAGTAAAAGCGCAGGCCATTGGAGACCGAGGTACGCACAGGCGTCCTGAAGGACGAGCGCAGAGCAGCCGAACCGAGGCGCATCGAAGAAGCCATTGTGGGGGGTTGAGGTGGACAGTGGGAGGAGAGGGTGATGGAGAGGAGAGGAGGGAGAGATAAATTCAACAGAGGGAGAAGTTGGCAGCAGGGCAGGCAGTCGGGTCGGAAAGCTTTGAGACGGGCAGACGCGGGCGATGACAGCCGACACGGAATCCGGGTCTGTGCGCTCCGCTTCTCCACCTCAGCTGGCCCCCGAGATATTTCCCCAGTGCAGCGAAGGAAGGAACTGGAAGACGACGACGACAACGACGGGAATGCAAGCCGGCCCTCTCGTCATCATCAACCC